CTTGACTTGAGAACTTAATCCGTATTGGAAGGCGGTTCTCAAGTCAAAAAGTCTGTAAGTCAAGTCTCCATTGACCTACAGTGAATTGAAAACCGATTAATCCCGTAACAGGCCATTTTTGTTCCATTTTGGTTTTTTTCTGGTCTGTAAGTCAAATCTCAGTCTGCAAGTCAAACCTAAATTTTGCGGCCAGAGAAGTCTGTAACTCAAAAAGTCTGTAAGTCAAGCCGTCTGTAAGTCAAGGGTCCACTGTACAAGCAGTTAAGTTTGAGTTTTCTTTTAAAGTTTATCCATATAATCAGCCATTGTGGACAGGAAATTTAAAATCAAACTCAATTACTAAGGAAAAAGTGCCACCAAATTCAGCAAGGCAGAATTGCAACTGAATGTGCATAGGATGCAGGCCTGTCTCAAATATGTGCACCAGCACCCGGTAGCTACACTAACATCAAATCTTATTTAATTTGCCCAACTCTCATTCGGATGCACTAGCTAATGAAAGTCAGCAGGGGGCAAGGATTTGTTAACATAGACAATAACAAGAGTAAGCAACAAAGGTGGATATGTGCGTGTTTTCATAAAATATCTTGCTTTGTACTATTTGTCACCGCCATTTGTTTAGAACTACTCATTACAAAAATAATAGTCACATTAAAAGAAAATCGAGAAAACCACTTAAGGGAATATAGAAGCATCAGTTCAAGTCACAAACGTACTTCGGGTACCTCTCCACCCTCCAAAGGCTCTGGATCCAAATCCTCACTAATGTGTCTCCTGGATCGAAACCTTCGATGGGCTGCTTCTTGATTTATCTGCCTGATGTTGTTTTCTGATTCGGCGGACACATCCCTGAAAGATTGGGTTGACAACAGAGTAATGAGTTGAGAAAGATAGTACAAATATTATTAGCAGCAACACTGCTAAATTTACATCAAAATAAAAATCACTATTTCATGGCCTCTCAAGTCTCTTCTGTGCATCTCATGTTAACAAAGTAAGCAAGGGATCAATTATTTCTCTGGGATGCTGGCAAGTTAAATTAAACAATGATCTCTCTGTATTCCAGAGCAAATAACAGGTCTCAAACCATTAGCTTCTACAAGGGCCAATTTCAGTGCTGGTGGCAGCAAATGCCAGGAACATAGTTTGGGACAAAGCAAACACTGTGTTTAAGGTGCAGCATGGAACTTAATACAATGCTGTTGCTATGTTGTTGAGACAATTCCACTGACGCTACCATCTCCAAACTGAAAAATGTGGGGTTGAGACAATATCTCAACCTCCATGATTTTTTCTTTTTTTAAAAAAAAGAGAGAGAAATGCTACCATCTCCAAACTGAAACATGTGGGGTTGAGACAACATCTCAACTTCCATGATTTTTTCTTTAAAAAAAAAAAAAGAGAGAGAAAAGATTCCTGCAGTAAAAATGGTAGAACATGGGTTGTAATTATTCTAAAGAAGATTTAACTCCCCCTTTTCTCATAACACTTGGGTTTCCAAAATATATTTTAGAGGACAAAAATGCTTTTTGGTGTTGAGAAATGTACTGTGGCACCCTCAAATATGACAAAACTGACTTCCCCAGGCCCAATACACAGACTAGAACTTTCTGAGAGAAAACCACATGCTACCTATCTCTGCTCTACAGTGAAGCAACCTCACACCCTGTACAAACTACTATAGATTGCTACACCCATGGATGCAAGCTAATTTAAAAGATCGCTGGAATAAAATAAACTTGATCATCTGAACAAGTGGATGCAACTCATGCTTCAAAAGAGTGGAATCAAATTGTTACAATTCACAGAAACGGGATCAAATTATAACCCCATCCTAAATCCCTATCAAATCAAAGAAAGAGATATTGGTTCGGGAAGGAGCCACAACTTTTATTTATTTATTTTTATTTATTTATTGTATACCACAACTTAGTAGTAGTGAACATGCTATGCATAAATAAAATCCACATTTCAATCTATGTCATTTCCAATTAAAATGAAGCCATGATACAGGATGGAGACACGTCTGCATGAGACCCCAGCTAGCATGGTGAATGTACAGCTGGCAAGATAGAGCTTAGTGATTTAGGTATCTGGCCGTGGAGCCAGAGGCTGGGAATTTGATTCCTCACTGTGCCTCCAGAGAAGAGCCAGTCTGCATAGCCTTGGGTAGTCCCAGGGTGCTTGCAGAAGAATGGAATGGCAAACCATGTCTGTGTATTCTCTACCCTGAAAAGGGTCACCATAAATTTGAACTGACTTGACGGCACACAATAATAATAATTATTACAGTCCAAATGATCTGGAGGGTACCACATCGAGGACGATGAGTGTACAAAATGGAACAAAAAACTGGCGAAGCATAAGTGAGGTTTATAGAGAAAATCCCTACACCAAATAGTTATAAAAGTGTAACACCACTAACTGTCCTGGCTCTCTATAGAGAGTCCCATGATTTGCAGTTTGGAGAGATATCTGTAGTTCTCCACTAGACAGCTCTAGTGTGCTCTTCTGAACTACAACAAAGAATTCTAAGTACCTAAGCAGACTATGATCACAAAGATTAAAATACAATAGGATAGAACCGTGATAGTTAAAATAGTACAAAAGTGCTGGAAATATATGAGGCAGATGCACTCCTGTTCAAGAACGGACTGGAAGGGAGGCTATTATCTAATATATTTTGTAGCATAATTCTACCAATTAACATCAGTTTTTTAAGATGACAATTCATATTTAAATGCCACACCCATGAACGTAATAAATCAATTTCCCCTACTGAAATCTGTAACTATTGGAATAGTCCAATAGATACAGTATTTGTTGAAGTGTAAATATATATAAATAGCAAGAGAATGTGTGTGTGTGTGTGTGTGTGTGTGTGTGTGTGTGTGTGTGTGTATAAACACACATGCATCTCATTCTCTTGCAATATTTATATCCAACTGGAAAGAAAAAGTAGCTCCTTGTCAAAACGCACACAACCCGCTCCCCCAAAAACCAGAATATTAAACTAATGCCTGGTGTCAGCAAAGATCACAGCCTATTCAATTATGCATGGCATTTGAAGTCAAGGTTTTTGTATTTTTAGAAGGATAATTATAATAAATGCTGAACTGTGAACATGAAAAGAACTCCATCACCAGGGTAAGAAGATTACATAAATTACAAGTGTAATTTAAAGCAGCGGTTGTAGGAAGAAGCTTTGACATCACTTAAACTAATTAGAAAGCTAACCTCTTCACTTTGCATCGTTGGCATAACGACTTAAACTCTGAAGACTGCTAACCCACTAACTTCACTTTGCATCGTTGGTGTAACGACTTAAACTCTGAAGACTGCCCATCATGGTTCCAGTTCATGATGTTGCTAGAAAAAGCTACATGATGCTGCAGAGCACAAGTGGAACTGTGCTTTAGATTCCACAGGAACAAAAGCACACATAACAGTATGTGCACGGAGAGGAGAGAGACCCTGTAGGGTATTATATATTCCCTGGTGGCTATTGTGAACAGCTGAAAGAGAAAGCATAGGATTCTTTACAACAGCGGTAGCGGATGGATGGCCTCCACTATTCTGCTGTACAGTAAGGCCCATTAGTCCTACTCAGCATAGTCAATGGGGTCTAGCAACACCTGCAGGTCCCTGCTTTCCACATCACTTTTTGCAGGTATCACTGACTTCTTCCTATTTCTAAACATGGAATATTAATTCAAAATGAAGTTTAAAATATGGTAAACAGAAAAAAGAAATGTGAAGAAGTGATCTGTTACTTTCAGTAAAGTTATCTGTAAAAAGGGCACCATACAGTTGTTTTTGCAAAATAATACAACTAGTTAAGATAATTAAAGTATGCTTCCTTGTTATTTGTTAAAAAAATTTGGGGGGATTTTGAACTAGTTTTCTATTTTTCAATAACCTTTTGGAATGAAAAGTGTTGCATGGCAGTGTGACTATTAAAGAAAGACATATTTGTCAATAGTTACTTTGGGGGGAAACGTAATGCATAAAGTGTTACTTATTTAAAATGACATTTCACAGGGTGTGGATTTAACAAACAACATCAGAAATTAAGGAGAAAAGAAAACATATTAATTGTAAGTTCCTTTTGTTATGTTTATGCTATAGGAAAACATTAAGTATGTTGTTCAGTGTCTCGTCCATTCTGGATTAAAAAAAACTATGTTGCATGGTATAGGTTGTGTCTAGTGTGCACTAGCTTTAGCATTTGTATTGTGCTTTAAACTTGTTGAGTCACAACATTTAAAAAAAAATGTACAGAAATGTAAGCAAGGAAGGAAGGAGTCTGAGCACTCTGAAGCAACATCTGCTGAGCATCCAGCTCTCCACTAGTTCCAAAATCAGTCATGTGGCAAACATCCTACCAAAGAGTACAAATGGTTTGCATAATTATTGCTGTTTATGTGTCCCGTCCCCCCCCCCCGCCCAATAGGATTGTATCTTTGGAATTTGCCTTAATTCTACTAAGACCAATAGCACGCACTCAGGAACTGGTATTCGCTGTGTTTGCTTCCAATTGTTATTTTTCTATGATTCTATTATCTGTGCTAGGATTCTGTCTTTGGAATTTGCCTTAACTCTACTAAGACTAACAGAATGCAATCAGGAACTGGTATGCACTGTGTTTGCTTCCAATTTTTATTTTTCTATGATTCTATTATCTGTGCTTTTTGTTCTGGAATGTACGCTAGGTGATATGACTGATGTTGCTGGAGACAGGCAGTTTTTTACATTAGAATTCCCAGGTAAGTACAGCGTTCTTTGGAATTTGCCTTAACTCTACTAAGACTAACAGAATGCAATCAGGAACTGGTATGCACTGTGTTTGCTTCCAATTTTTATTTTTCTATGATTCTATTATCTGTGCTTTTTGTTCTGGAATGTACGCTAGGTGATATGACTGATGTTGCTGGAGACAGGCAGTTTTTTACATTAGAATTCCCAGGTAAGTACAGCGTCCACAGTCATCATCAGGCATTCATGCTCATGGTAGGAACAGTCTGTTGTTCTGTATGTACCTGTTCCTGCTTTGCAGACAGAAGATATCTATGTTACAAGACATCCAACTTGAACAGCCATGAAACATTTCCGATAGGACTACACGACACCCTCTTGTTTAAGTTATGCTGAGTGTCACTCACACCAACTTTGAGTGCTGTAGGGACTTTATTATTTATTAGATAATTCTACTGCTAGATAATTTATACGTTAGGAAGAACAACCTTCAGAACACGGCCAAAGAGCCTGAAAAACCCACAACAACCAATTTATACATTACTTCCCTCCAGTGAGCAAAAGGCAGTGCACATAGCCTTCTTTCTCCCCATTTTACCATCATATAAAGACTAGCTGAAAGGTAATGGTTGGATCAAGGTGAGTTTCATGCCTCAACAGGGATAAGATCCTGGAACTCCAGTCCAGCACCTAACCCTCCCTATACTGTATCACACAAGTTTGTCAATAGCTTGTGGTGGGCGGAGATAGCAGATTCCCTTGAAATAAAAAGATCAATCTAGATAAGTTTTTTTTTTTTCATCTTTTCTTTTAAAAAATTACAAAGTGCCAACACTGGTGCACTGTCGGGTAGAGAAAAATGAGTAATTAGACTGGATGTACTACACTGAAACATTCCTAAATCTCTGGAGATTGCCTTTCTCTAGCCTAGAAGGTGGGCAATACCTGCACCGCATCACCAACTGATCAACCCATGCTACAAAGCTAGTGTGTCTCACACACTAAGTATGTCAACAAGGACTGCAAAACAGGGAGAGCGCCTCAAGATGGAGAGCCAAGTGCTCCGACTTTACAGATGTTTTAATAGGGCACAATTACTGAGCTACAACAAAAGCACTAACTGTATTTATGTTAATATGCAATAAGCAAATTAGGACAGCCAGTAAATACTGCAGTAAGTTTTCCCTCCTACAGTATTACTGGAAGGAAAACTCAGGAACATGAACATCAACTGCCAAGCCTCTAATTAAAATTCCTTTGTACTTGAAGACAACTCCAGAAGCATGAAATTCCATTGTATAAATTCAGGTGTTAGAACAGTCAAAGCAAATGTCCCGCTGTCTCATAGCACAGAAAAACTTTGAAAAACAGATCAACAAGATCTGTTCACTGAGCAAACTAGACAGGCTTTACTGCAGGGAAGTATATAATCCTAGGGGACACCTACAATCACGTGAAGAATCAATATCTTAGAGATTCACCAATGTGCAGAAAAGGTCTCTTTTCTAAGGAGAGCAGTAACCTAGAAACACTATCCTGAATACAGTGAATTTAAATGGCTCTGCTTTAAGCCATTTTATATTATAGGTATACTTGATGCAATCTGCTCTGACTTAAAACAGTCAGTAAGTTAAATATAGTAATATGCCCTAAAATAGCATTTTTATCAATATTTGATAGGGAACAATGGAACTGGACAGTGAAAGAATTAATGTCAAACTCATTAACAGTGGCAAGATTAATGATTGCAAAGAACTGGAAAGTAAAGTATGCTTTTCAATTAAATGATTAGTATAAAGAAGTTTGGAATATAGCTATTAATGATAAGCTAACATGTAACATTAGAGGGGAAAAATTATGAGTATTTTTAGTGTTATCTGGGGAGCTTTTATTGACTCTGTGCTAACAAAAAGGAAGGATTGTGAACCTTTGCAAGATTCAATGCAATCTTGGAAGGGGAATTGGGTTTTATAAATGGAGAACGGATTACCATATTTTTCGCACCATAAGACACACTTTTTTCCCACAAAACAGGGGGGTGGAAAATCTGTGCGTCTTATGGAGCAAAGAAAACAGATTATATTTTCCTGTTTTCTTCTCCTAAAAAATTGGTGCGTCTTATGGAGCGAAAAATACGGTAATTTCCAGTGGTCCTGGTGGAGGGGAGCACTGTTTGTATAACTATCGTTTATGCTGTTTTTGATTTTATGCTTATTAAATGTTTTCTTTAGGCTTGTATTTTTAGATATATATATTCTTTTCTTTTTTTGTATTTATTTTCTGTTTTATTTAAATAAATAAATAAAAAACAGCCAAAAAACATCTGAGTGTTCAATTAAGGTGTTGGCCCACTGAAATAAACAGGATTAAGAATCCAATCCGATGTACTTACACAGAAGTGTATAAAATTGGATTGAATCTTATTTAAAATATTTGTATACATACTGTTTTTAGCTTTTAAATATTGTCTTTTTAATTATGTAAGCCGCTTTGAGTCCTTTTTAAAGAGATTTTTAAAGAGAAAGGAGGGATAAAAATATTTTAAATAAATAAATAAAAACAATAAATATATAAAGAAAAGAGACAGGATGAAAAAAGGACCAGCAATTATGACTATATTATTAGAAGCAATATTGCTCTTTACCCGGGGGGGGGGGATCATGAGGAGGTGTTGGCCCACTGAAATAAACAGGATTAAGAATCCAATCCGATGTACTTACACAGAAGTGTATAAAATTGGATTGAATCTTATTTAAAATATTTGTATACTCACTGTTTTTAGCTTTTAAATATTGTCTTTTTAATTATGTAAGCCGCTTTGAGTTCTTTTTAAAGAGAAAGGAGGGATAAAAATATTTTAAATAAATAAATAAAAACAATAAATATATAAAGAAAAGAGACAGGATGAAAAAAGGACCAGCAATTATGACTATATTATTAGAAGCAATATTGCTCTTTACCCGGGGGGGGGGGGTCATGAGGACCAGCTTTACCCGGGGGGGGGGGATCATGAGGATCAGCTAAAATATCTTCGAGAACACATCTAGATCCTGTTTATTGCAAATTCAGGCTGTGCAATTAACTGATTTAGCTGAAAACTGAACCAAATCAAGTCACTTCAGATCTATTTTGAACAAGTGGATAACATTGGCTTGAATGGGATTTGAATCACTTTGGACTTATTTGGACACTAGAAGGACAAGATATATCTTCAAAATGTTGCAAAATAGTACCCTTTAAGGAAAATGCCTGCTGGCATAGAAGTGAGGGAAGGATAGCCTTTGTTCATTACAATTTCAGACAAGAATCTGACCAGAACTTCCCAGTACTTGCAAGAAGGGACTGCATGGTGTCCCTGAAGTTATATTCAGTTATCTCATCTAGCCCTTGGTTCTTCTGGATTTCTGTAGTTACTAGTAACAGATCACTGAAAAAGCTACAGAGTGTGTTTGGATGTCAGCTGTTCTGACCGCTCTGGGCCTCTATCACTTCACTTCCAAACCTTGCGCTTTTTAAAGATCTGAATAATATACCCCAATTGTCTTTTTGCCTTTACTGTTTACTAGTTTATCTGAATAGCAATCTGTCCATTATGTGGAAGTATTAATACCTTACCCTCCTCCCTATACAGACAAAAAACCCGCAAGACGAATGTTTTTTTGAGATCACTGTGGTGCCTCGCAAGACAGCTTCTTCTAAGGTCGTGCTTCGCAAGATGATTTCCCCCCCAAGACCGATGTCTCGCAAGAGGAAAATAATTCATTCGTCTTGCAAGGTTCCCATAGGCATGCATTGCAATGCATTCCTATGGGAAATTGCTTTTCACAAGACGAACATTTCGCAAGACAGCACTACTTGCGGAATGAATTACTTTCGTCTTGCGAGGCACTACGGTAGCTTCCAATCTGTAAGTTGCACTTGAGCACGGAGGTTCCATTCATGGTTAATAGCTGCTGACAGACCTAGTTTCCCCACACCCTTACAAAAGAGATTGCCACTAAAGGTCATCATTGCAACATGCTACTGTGAATTGCACACATTAATGACATGCGGTATATAAATCCACACTCACATTAAACTTGGTCGGTGCCATTGTGTTGTCCTGTTGTTATGATTGACATAATAAGTGCGTCCGAGGTTGTCCACTTTTTCTTCCCATCCAGGTGGCAGGGGAGGTGGGGGTAATGCCTCTTGACGCTGAGAGGGAGAATCATTGGAGTCGACCACTTCCCATCCATGCTTTGAAAGGTAAAAAGGAAAAAAAGTAAAGCTGGTCTTAAACCATGTGATCATTGAGCCATTTCTGGTACAGTGAAACCAAACTAACAGCGGCTTGCAATGTCAACATCCCTGACAACAAGGGCAAGCAAAATGCACTCCATTATAGCATCTGTTTGTGACAGCTGCTCATCCAATACAGCAATATCCTCAAAGATGGGACTACAATGAAAGGCTGGATGCAGACCAAAGCCTTCTTAGAATGGGACTAAGCAGGTTCGAAAGATTACGTTGAAGAAGAGGGAAACACCAGCACGCTAAATGGGGGACAGAAACATATCGACATCTGGTGCACTTGGATCAGAACAAGAGAGGAACGATGTAATACATATTTTCTTGTCCTCAGTGAAGGACACCAGCACTTTTTAGTAAGTAGCAGCACTATAACAAAAAAAACCTTGAACTTTTTGCACAAAACCCCTTGTATTTGATGCAGAAACCTTGTATAACACTTATGTTGCACAGAAAATCAGTTCCCTCCCCCCCAAAATGCGAGCTTTTTTGTACAATACAGGGCTTTTCCTTTAAAAACCTTACTTCCCTGATTTTATTCAAACAAGAGCCAAAATATAAAAATGCACAAAAAGTCTTCATGCCCAGCATGAAGAAAACATGAAATGGTTCATTCTCAGAAGTTTGCTTAGGTCCATCACTAAATAGGTGGACTCCAGCTGCTGTTTCAGTGATACCCATCATCTTTTGAATCTCAACTCTCAGAACAGCTGCCCAGATCTTATATTAGGTGAAGCTTCTGGGATTAAAAAGCAAAATATTCAGAACATCAAATGTTGAGACCCACTGCTGTACAGCATGTTGCAACCATTATACAAAGGGGCAAAAATTCTGTTGAAAAAAAAATGTGTGCAGGACAGCCAACATGCAGTGGCTTCTCCCTCTGTCACCACTACACACTGTGTGACCAATGTTGTAACCAGTGTAAGACTGGGTATGCAAAAAGATGTTGGCTGGGGTGGGGTTGACTGCTTACACAATTGCCCTACTGGTCTGCACTCTCTCAAAAGGATTTTGGCCAACATAACTGAAGCATGGCTTATCAACGTCTGATTCCAATCCAGTTTCAGCAAGAAAAATACTTATTTCTTTTGAAAAGTTGTTATTGAACATTACAGAGTAAAAGTGTGGTTTCAGCAATTTCTTGGAAACCCAGTACTTCTGTGTAATACTGATCGCAGCAATCACTAGACAATGAGGAATCAGACTAGTTCCCTTCTGCAAAATGATGCAGGAGAAAATAAATCTATGCTTGTTTCACATCCCAGAATTGTTATCTATTTAACCAAGACTGAAAGCAATGCTTTGTTTCAGAGGCTGTTCCCATGAATAAAGACTGAGATAATTCCTATCTGATTCATTCATTATAGGATGAGGAAAAAAAATAACATTCCAGGAAAATCTCATTCCAACTTTCATGTCTGATCCACAGAACACAGATGGTTTGCCTTGCTTACAGTGAAATATAAACCTATATCAAAGCACCCTATGTATTTTCTTTTATACCATACCAGGTCACTGTTCACTATGTTAGAGCAAACTTTCAGAGCACCACTCGCATTATAAGCTGTGATGAGGAAGTGTGGCAAAGCAATCACATTATGGTCTTTCAATAGTTTCTATGTTCATTTCCAATGCTAAAATGGCCATATGGTTTGAAAAAAAAATCAACAGAAGAAAGAACACCAGGAAAATGGGGCAGAGAGAAACAGTGCAGCATAATAAACATAGTGGACGAACTCTTCTGTAGATTTGTGCTGGTGTTGGTGTAATATTGTAAATCATGATGGTGAATTGCTGCTAATTACTTGCTGCTTACATCCCTAGTCATGTGCCAGTCATATGTCTTAACTAGGAATGCAAGCAGTCACTTGTTAATTAGCAGTCATTTGCCATCACAATCTATGCAACTACATCTAATGCTTGTGTAAATCTATAAAAGAATTCTGGCCTTGTCTCTTAACAAATTATACTTTAGAAATTCCGCTCATCTTCTGAAAGGAACAGACTAGTTGGTGAGATGTGATCCCTTCTTTTTTTTATTTTTTAATGTTCTTACAAAACTGTAACACTGATTAAATCTGTAACGGTCTTTGAAAAAGAAGTTTAACCAGTCCATCTGAATTAATTTTTGTTAATGCCCAGTATGTGGGTGGGGAATCTTCTCCATCCTAAGGGTCTCATTCTTTGGGAGATACATTCCTCTAGTGAGCAGGACATGCTTTTAATTGTAATGTGTTGTATCTCTGTTTTCACTGCATTGTATGATATTTGATCTGTGCCCCCTAATGTATGGATGTTGTTTTATTTTGTTACTTTGTTGCTCTGTCTACTTGTTGTAAACCGCCCAGAGTGGCCTCGGCTGCCAGATGGATGGTATATAAATCAAATAAGTAAAATATTTAAAACTGGTTTGAACCAAAGAAAATGGGATTTCATGGACATCATGCACATACAGCAGTTTCAGCTACTGCACAGGCAGCTTCCTTTCGGAGGACCACAGAATATAGTACAGTGGTGCCTCGCAAGACGGGCACAGCTTCTTTTCGGAGAACCACGGAACAGTGGTTCCTCGCAAGACAGGCGTTCTGTTTAACAACGAATCCGCCTTACGACGAGGTATTTAACAACGAACCCGCATTACGACGAGATTTTTGCGATCGCAAAACGACGTTTTGAATGGGGGAATTTCGCTGTGCGATGATCAGTTCCCTGTTTCGGGAACCGATTTTCGCTTCCCGATGATCAAAACAGATGATCGTCAGGTTTTCAAAATGGCCGCCAGGTGCTCAAAATGGCTCCCTGCTTTGTTTAGGAACCATTTTTTGCTGCACAGGCACCTGAAAATGGCTGCCCCTATGGAGGACGGTGAGTTTTTAGCCGATTGGAATGCATTAACCAGGTTTTAATGCGTTTTAATGCGTTTCAATGGCTTTTTTATTTTCGCTTTACGACGTTTTCGTTCTACAGAGATTTTGCTGGAACGAATTAATGTCGTAATGCGAGGCACCACTGTACTTGAGACTGGTGTAATAAGGGCACAGAGTCTGGTGAAAAATGGCACAGAAGATATTCTTTGAACTTGATTGTGCAGCTCAGCTCATTGCTTAAAAAAAGCATGTTGCTAAAAATGTTACCCTGCCTTTCCACTAAATCAACAATAACTAACATTCAAGACCGTCAGAAAATGTAAGTAACACAAACTGAAAACAATCACTGAAGAACTTTACACTGTCCTCCTTTTTCAACTACCCTCAAGCCTTTCGGCTGACTGGAAACAACTAAACCCAAATTCCTCTCAGATCAGATTTCTTCCAATTTCTGCCTTTCCCGACAAGGCACTTCAACAGGCTGTGTGATGTTAGTGAGTTGGTCCTATTTAGTTTGTGGACCAGAGACTCCTATGTAGCTGGCTTAAAGAATCCAACCTTGGGGGCCAAAGATGACATTCTTAAAGAACAAAAGGCCTCCTGTCCCTTCCCAAACAATCACATTTCACTTTGCACATCCTTGTGTGGACTGCAGCCCATTTCATCGGATATGCAGCGGCCATCAACGGGGCTATTTCCTCCACCTACAATTACTTCCAGAATGATATATATTTGCCTTCTGTATTTTCTACAGATAATGACTTGATTATACTACTGAAGCTCTAGCTGTGTCCTTGTTCCATTTTAATTCCACAGCAATATATACTAAGAGGAATACTTATCACAACTGCAGCAGGGGAAAAGAAAGAAATTGCTCCAGAAATGCCTCCTTTACAGCAAGCTTACCTCAGAGTCTTCCCTCTGATATATATTTGCCTTCTGTATTTTCTACAGATAATGACTTGATTATACTACTGAAGCTCTAGCTGTGTCCTTGTTCCATTTTAATTCCACAGCAATATATACTAAGAGGAATACTTATCACAACTGCAGCAGGGGAAAAGAAAGAAATTGCTCCAGAAATGCCTCCTTTACAGCAAGCTTACCTCAGAGTCTTCCCTCTGATCACCATCCTCTTCTTGACCACCATTTTTTGGCATGTAAGCCATCTTCAGTCTCAAAAACCCCTTTACTCGAGACTTGTGGCTAGAAAGTGTAGAATGGGGAAACAATTGTTTTTAATAATAAGTTTCCCAGGTGGAAAAGCACTTGTTTTAACAGAAGTAATAGATGTTCTGAAAAAGACTGTATATATGAAAATTCCTTACCTTCTTGGTCTGAGAAGGAAATCTTTAAATGTGTACGGCCTTTCCATGGTTGGGTCTTCAGTCTATTAGTAGGAAAAAAAGAATAAGTCATTAAAACTCAAGAACACAGGCTGACATGCGCTGAACAGGTTTTAATTTTTCAGGTGAAAGGAACTCTAAAGCACAGAGTCATGCCAAGTGAGCATTTCCACTAGATGTCATTGTTAACACCACTATTAACCCTAACCCAACCATCACTGTCCTGATACAAAGAAAAAAAAAGTAATAAGCAGAAGATGCTGGAGGTGATACAGATGTTTAACAAAAACAATCAATACAAAATAAGCCACATACCCAAGCCTATTCATTAACCACAGTATTGAGATGCCTCTAAGTAAAGGCAGGGAAGTCAGACCTATTAATATGCAATGTAATACACAACATCTCTTACAAAACAAGCTTCCCTGTCTTCTGTTCTTTCTATGGCATAGAGAAGAGAGGGGCTGAACGCTGGTTATAGGGATAGTAACTCCAACCCAAACAGTGGAAAAAGCTGTAGCCCAGAAACAGAGAACATACTTTACACATAAAAGCTTACACGTTCAGTCTCTATTACTAAAGAGTACACAATGATGAGCTGCTAGATCAGTGTTTCCCAACCTGGGAGTCACAAAGAGTTCTCTGAGGAAGTCTCAGGACGCCTTATATATGTTGTTAGATTTTGTTAGATTAGGCATCCTTCAGTCTCGAGAGACTATGATAATGTGCTCTATATGGAGGACTTTGACGCTGTATGAAAAGCTGGCGTGTCCTCCCCAGAGCACGAAGCCTGGGTAAAATAATATGCAGGATAGTCTGTTACCCAAGCAGCAAATCCCCCCTCCCCACATCGCTGAAATAGTCCAATCCATATTGATGCAATATCAACTAAAAGACCACAAAAATGGCCAGGTTTCCAAGATTATCTTATCTCTTCATGAGGCTTGCTGTTAAAAACAGTTGGGGAGAACTGATGAAAAGGCTGATCACACTGAATCACAATGCCTGCATATTCACTCCCTCTGGGGCGATTTCCCTGCACTAATTCTCCATGCAAGACATCTTTTGGAATCCGGCCATCAGCCATTCTCACAATGTGCCCAAGCCAATGTAGACGTCACTGTTTCAGTAATGTATACATGCTAAAAATTCCAGCTTATTCTAGGACTACTCTATTTAAAATAGAATGCCCTTGTTAAAATGATTTGTTGTAAACCACCTAGAGTGGTCTTTGGCCAGATGGGTGCTACATAAGTCAAACAAACAAACAAACAATTCTTCCATGACCTTTTGGACCAGGCTATTAAACTTGGTGTGAATGCGTGTATGCATGAGAAACAGGTCCTTTGGAGGAAGAAAGAAGCTTCTACATTCTGAGAAGGGATGACTTTATCCATTTAAAAATGCTTTTTATGCAAATATGGAGGGGGTCCCAAGTTACTGGGCTAATATAAAAGGGAGCCGTGAATCGAAAAAAAAAAAGAGAGAGAAAGAGAGAGAGAGAGAGAGAGGGAGATATTGGCAAACACTGTTCTAAATGGATGAATAATTTGATTTGGTGTAAGGAAGTTTCTTATGTGCCTTCTGGAAACCCTGCCAGCTCTTTCAGAGAAAAGAATAGATTTTCCTCCAAACACCACTGCATCTTAATTAACACTCATTCTGTTTAATTTATGATAGCGATGGGACTCAAAAAGTAACCTCTAATAGAAAAGACTGCATATTCACTCAATGTCCCACTGTGAAAAACAGATCAATAGCAATTAGAGCAGAGGTCTGAAGGCAATCAAGAGTCTAAAAGTCAATCCACACAAAGACACTGGTTAAGAGATATTTAGTCTAGAGGCAAAAGATTTAAAGGCGGATATACTGGCAGCTTTCAATGCCATGAAAGGACATTGAAGTTGAAATGAGGCAACAAAATTGTTTTGGCAAGATGTCCCTGGAAAAGATGGGAAACTGTGAATTTAAAATTTTAGGAATCAGATTTAGGATTAACAGAAGAACTTCCTAATATTAAGGAACTTTTAACTCGGTGGTAAAATCATTTCTGGAACTTTTCATGAGAAGACTTCAAATAAATAGTTTAGATTCAATGCATTTAAAGACTGAGAGGAATGCCAGACCCCAATAATCAGCACTGATGCAAAATTGTAAGATTCATAAAAATGGAAATAATGCTTCTATTTTCCTATCGTTTCTTGTATTCTCATCGGAAGTTGTAGTATGACTTGAAAAGAGAATTACTAAGAACAAAAGCCAAACAACAGCAAAGAGAATGAATTAGGCAACTTCCAATTCACATGTCACCTTGAGCATGAAAACATATTAACCATTCTTTCAGTCTCGTCATCTCTGATAGAATCATACTGCCCTTGTGGTATTAGGGCGAAGGACAGAATACATATATACAAAGTGTTCTGTGAATTCTGGGAATGCACTTCATAATTGTTAATAATAATGTTTACAATGGCTTAATATAAGACTTGCAGAGTTTTAAAAACAATTCTTATTCAGTAAGAAACAAACAGGACTGGCAGATGAAATCTGTACTTGCCACTCACTTATATGATAACGAGAAATTCATATGTTTGTGAATGTCAGCTTTTTGATAACATGTGAAAAGCCCATACATTGACTCTTTCATATCTGGAAACAGGGCTTGGCAGAATATCAAGAGCTGTTCAAAGAAACAGCGGGAAGGGGTATGTAGTATGTTAAAAATATGACTCAAAAAATTTCCTGCAAAAATCATTCAGATCTCCTTTTACCCCAAGGTGACAACCAAGCTACCATGGTCGCTGAAAGAATGAATGTGGTTACAAACATTATTGTGCACTTTGTATATTTAGGAGAAATGATTAATTGCAGTAATAAAATGGCACACGCTGACTGAAGAAACTGGAAGACTTCCAACTATGTTGTAAATTTTTAATGTGGATACTTAACCCAAGAATGAAACTGCTCAGACGCGTCTTTAAAACCCGCATTACTTAAGTAAATCGACGAGAACAGCTGCACTCAAAACATATCAAGCTCCTAGACAAAGATGAACTTAAGAGCATTCGGGACACCAAGACCCAACAGAAATGGCTAAAACAGAGCCTGGAATTGTTCTTCATTGCCGCTCAGAAAATGGGGAAACTTCCAATGAGGAATCTCAGTGAAAGCTCGGGTCAGATTTCACAGTGAGCCTACCCCCTTTACTTCAGAGGGAATTTCTGTATCTCCATGGAAGCAAGCCCATTTCACATGATTACAGAACTTCTATGAGATGACTGTAAAACCGGAATGTAACAGAGACAACATCCACTGTTGGACAGGTACATACAGTAATATCTGTAATAATATAGTCACGTGCTGTCGAGTCAGTTCTGACTTATGGCAACCCTTTCCAGAGTTTTCTAGGTATAGACTAAAGGTAAAGGTAAAGGTTCCCCTTGACAATTTTTGTCCAGTCGTGTTTGACTCTAGGGGGCGGTGCTCATCCCCGTTTCCAAGCCATAGAGCCAGCGTTTTGTCCGAAGACAATCTTCCATGGTCACATGGCCAGTGCGACTTAGACACGGAACGCTGTTACCTTCCCACCGAGGTGGTCCCTATTTATCTACTTGCATTTGCATGCTTTTGAACCGCTAGGTTGGCGGGAGCTGGGACAAGCGACGGGAGCTCACTCCGTCGCGTGGATTCGATCTTACGACTGCTTGGTCTTCTGACCCTGCAGCACAGGCTTCTGCGGTTTAGCCCACAGCGCCCCCACCTCCCTCTCAGGTATAGACTACATAGAGACAATTTACCATTCCTTTCTTCTGGGGCAGCCTGGGATTGCGCAGCTTGCTCAGGACTACACAGGCTGGCTCTCTGCCTGCCCTACAGAATGGGGAATCAAACTCCCAACCTCTGCCTCCGCAGCCTGTTCCCTAAATCACTAAGCTATTTCATCAGAATATAATATAAATACATGATCTTTTTAAACAAACCTAGAACCTTCCTTACTATTGACCACAAAAAAAAAACAAAAACCTAGAACCTTCCTTACTATTGACCACCTCAGACTTCCAGCTTTTCAGGGCCACTATCCCAAAGGTTAATGAAAATACTGTGAAAAAAGAAGAAGCAACTAACAAAATTCCCCTTTTGGTAGAATAAGCTGCCTGGCAAGGGGTCGAAATTCTCCACCTTTTTAATGTTAACCCACTTTGAGTTTACGAGAGTCCAGCAGAGCAGATAGGCATATGCAGCTATGAAGTTAGGCCCCTTAAATGTGTACACCCTTTGGAGTGGGAAACCATTAGAAACTGGCAGCTAGTCAGCACAATATTCCTCAGGGCCAGCCCTATCGTTAGGCAGAGTGAGGCTGTGGCCTCAGGGAACAGGATGATGAGATAAGATTGTGCAGCTTCAGTAACTGCTAGGCAACCCTTCTCTAGCTGCAGTCCTTCTGCTCACACTACTGCTTGGGGTATCATTCATTTTGTTTTTGGATTCCAACTTGCAGCCCATGAGGGTTTATAGAGGGCTTCCCAAAGAACTATAACTCGCACAAAGACCTAAGCCTCTCAGCAAGCACCGAGAGAGTTTCCTTTTTGTATAGGAAGTAGGCCTGAAAGAGTCTGGAAGATAGGACCTTTCCCAGGTAAGTGAAACGCATGCGTGCATAAGTGTGTATCTCTGGCCAGGTACAGTCGTGCCCTGCTTTACGATTACCCCGTTTAACGACGAATCCGCTTGATGGTGAGGTTTTTGCGATCTCTTTTTTGCAAAGCGATGGTTTGAATGGGTTTTTTCCGCTTTGCAATGATTGGTTCCCTGCTTCGGGAACTGATTTTTGCTTTACGACAATCAAAAACAGCTGATCGTCGGGTTTCAAAATGGCTGCCGGCTGAATAAAATGTCCGCCCCACTGTGCATAGGAACAGATTCCTCCTTGCACAGGCACCTAAAATGGCCGCCCCTATGGAGGATCTTCACTGAATGGGTTTCAATGCATTTCAATGGGCTTTTAAATTTCACTTTACGACTTTTTTGCTTTACAGCAATTTTG